TGTTGTCTGTCATCTGGACTGGGGCAACAGCCTCCCTGTTTGCTTCTCTGTCCCTTCTTCTACCTTTTCCTCCTTCATTGAAGTGTAATCTACATGCCATACAACTCACTCATTACAAGTGTACAGATTCAAATTTAGGCCATTTCCATCACTCCTCCCCACTACCCCCAATTATCTCTTGCACCTTTGATGAGAGTCCCCATTCCCACTCCCAGGACTAGGCAACATGGGAGGTAGAGGCTGCAGTGAGCTGAGATCTCTCCACTGCACTCCAGACTGGACGACAGAGTGAAACTCCGTCTCAAAAGAAAAAAAAAAAAAAAAAAAATCTAACTATAATTGTTGAATTGTCTCTTTGTCCTTTTAATTCCATCAGTTTTTACTTCATATATTTTAAGTTGTTAGTTGCATATACATTTATGATTCTTGCATCTTCCTGATCTATGTCAGGGGAACTCCTGCTATTGACCCTTTTATTATTATGAAATGTCCTTCTTTATTCCTAACAATATTGTTTCTTAAATATAATTTGTCTGATATTAATATAGTCACTCTATCTCTCTTATAGTTATGTTTTACATGATGATATGGTGATATGGTTTGGCTGTGTCCCCACCCAAATCTCATCTTGAATTGCAGCTCCCATAATTCCCACACGTCATGGGAAGGACCTGGTGGGAGGTAATTGAATCACGGGAGCAGGTCTTTCTTGTGCTGTTCTCATGAGAATAAGTCTCATGAGATCTGGTGGCTTTATAAATGGGAGTTCCTCTGCATAACCTCTCTTTTTGCCTGCTGCCACGTAAGACGTGCCTTCGCTTCTCCTTTGCCTTCCACCACGATTGTGAGGCCTCCCCAGCCATGTGGAACTATGAATCCATTAAACCTCTTTTCTTTATAAATTACCTGGTATTGTTTATGTCTTTATTAGCAGTGTGAGAATAAACTAATATACATGATATATATATATATCTATTTCCATCTTTTTTACTTTTAACTTATCTTTTTTACTTTTACTTTTTACTTTTAACTTATCTTTGATTCTAAGTTGTGTTTCCTATAGCCAGCATATAGTTGGATTTTTTGGTAAAACCCGACTAACAATCTGTGTCTTTTGACTCATTAGTATACCATTTTTTTTCTTCTGTTGATTTTTAAAAACTATTTTTTTGTTTTTATTTTTGTGTGTGCTTATTCTAGAGATTACAATATTCTTCTTAATTTAACACAATCTACTTCAGCTTAGTAATAACTTAATTCTGGTAAAATATAAAAACTTTTGCCCCAATATAGCTCCATTACATTCATCCTTTGTATTTTTATTATCACATATTTACATCTATATATCAAAAATAAAAAAATACAGTGTTGTAACTATTGCTTAATATTTTATATATATATATATTTTTCTTTCCTTTTTCCTTTTTTTGTGTGCAGTGGCATAATCTCAGCTCACTGGAACCTCCACTATCCGGGTTCAAGTGATTCTCCTGATTCAGCCTCCCAAGTAGTTGGGATTACAGGTTGCACCACCACATCTGGCTAATTTTTGTATTTTCAGTAGAGATGGGGTTTTGCCAT